TGATTTTATTAAAATCAACAGCAACTCTGAAATAGTGTAATAATCAAGAAAGCTAAGGAGTGAAACAGAAGTAGATAGTAAATGGAATAATATAATGATAAGAAAAGTAAAAAAATAACTTGTATTACAATGAGAGAATGCTATTAAAGTATAACACATTATTATTTCCCCAGGATGAATTATAAACCAATAAAAATTGTAAAAATACTTTGAAGAAGGGAAGTACATGTACGCAAAGAAAAAATTATTAAGCATTAAATGTTTAAGTACAGGAAAGTGGCAGTCCAAAATGCATTCCTTGTGATTAAAAAAAATTACTTATATTTTAAGTATGTAAACATAAATTTCTCTTACTGTATAAAATATATTTATATCAACAAGTTCATTACTCTTCAGAATATTGTGGATAGTGAATGAATAAATGTTTTGGAAATAATGTAGATGTTGATTCACTATTCTAATTTTTCAGCCATGTTTTTCCCACCAAGGTTACAGTAATGAAAACTATATGTCAGTTGTTTTCATTGTATAGCAAAATATATATTTTTTTTGTTCTAAATTTTCTGGTGATTGAAATTGGACTTGATAACAACTAAATATTTCAATATTAAGCCACTTTTAATACTTACTGAGTCAAGTGCTTTTCCATTGATTTACATGTATTTGTAAAATGGAATATAAAAGATACCACTTACAGACATTTTTCAAACTTAAATAAAATATAAGTGAACTTTATCAGATACTAAGTTTACATGACTGTTTGCCTTGAAATGTTTCTGATGTTATTTCTTGAGTATCAAAGGTCCTAGAAATATTCTGTATTGCAGTATGTTTGAAGAAATAGTATTGTAGTTTTTAAAGTTCCATATTTCGATATTTTAATACAATTTATTTTTTTATTCTCTCATTTTTTTAAAATCTTTAGTTAAATGTTTATATTTTAAAGAGTGGTATGATGATCTATTCTTTGTTTCTCATTATTTTCTTAGTTGACATTAATTGTTTTTTACATGCACAACATTTATACTAAATTACATGTTGAATACAATAATAAAAATCACATTGGCTGTTAACTTAAAGTTTTTTTTACAAACTAAGTGTCCAGTGTAATGGAATGTGTCTTTATAACAGATAAAGAAAGGAAGAATTGGCATAGACATGATTACACAGATGCTGAAGCTGAAGGGAAGGTATGTGTGTGTGTATATAATAAAATGTGTTTTTTATTTGTTTATCTTATATTGAAGCTTTTACAACTTAATAAAAATCTCTCTTAAGAATTGTCATTTTATGTTTTAAACAAAACAGAATTTTTATTGTGACCATTATTAATTTGTAGAAACTCATATATTTAGAAAATCATCATTACACATATAAAGTATAAATAAACCAGCTGCTGAGCTTTAAATTATTTGTACTGAAAATATAAAAAAAGAGTATAATTGAATAATGTATTGAGGTATGAAATCATAGAAATAACATTCTAAATGAAAAAAAGTAAAAGTTGGATAGTGTTTTCAACAGTTAAAGTCTAGTGAAATTTTAATGGCATTCATAACATGGGATATCATTTATTATCTGGAGTACATAATTTGGTTCTATAAAGTACATTTTAGGTGCTTGATGATTTGGTACTTTTCCCTAGCATTTGCTATTTTTTATTTTTAGGCATTCCATACTTTTCAGACCAGTTTATTAAATATTGGCCATTACCTTAGTTGATTGTTATATTCTGGCTGTACAACCTAACAATCAATTTTTTTTGCAGAAAATATTTTTTTATATTCACAAACTGAAAATGTTTAGAATCTTAAAACACACACAAAAATATTCTAAAATTCCTCCTCACAAAGGCTTTATATATTTTTATTTTCATGTGAAGGTACAAGTTTTGTGAAAAATACCATTTAATTTAATTTAATTTTTCTTCAAGTTAATGTGTTAGTCTGTAACATTTATTTGAATTAGTATAATGACTAACTTTTGTAATTTTATTTAACATATACAGTATTTTAAAAATATATAAAAAGGAAAAGAAGTTCACATGAATAATATAATGTAATTAACAATAATTGTTGTATTTTTACTCAATATTTGCACTGAAAGTTTGGAAAATGATGTGAATCATTAGATTTGTGTAATCAGTTTTCTGTAATGGCTACATTTGACACAAAGTTTTTAATTTTAATTATTGTGAATGATAGAAAAGTGTTGTTATATATAATAATTTATTAATCTGTTCATCTTTTACTTGTATTGAGCTTTTAGGTATTTAGGCTTTATGCAAGTTTGATTCATTAATGTTTTATTTTACAGGCTATTCAAACTGGAACACCAGTGTTTATCCATGAACTGAAACAAAGGCACTTTCGGAGGTGGGTCGTGTTTACTAAATTGTTATTATCTGCTGTAAGTTAAGCACCATTTTTAAAAAGTGGCTTATTTTGTGAGTTTGTTTAAGCTATGAGATAATAAGACTTAAATAATTTACTAGTTTTTGTATCTTTAGTGAATTATTCTATTTTGAAAAATAAACTGAAATATGAAAATATTAAAATTATTTCTGTTAAACTATTACTTTTGATAAACTGTTAAAGCACAGAGCAATTTTCAGTCACAACAGTTACTTTTATGACTAACTAGTGTTTGTGATAGATGTGTGTGCTGTTATTTCTGTATTATCTGGAGTTATCATAGCTTAAAACTGTAAAAGTATCAAACATAATACCTAATGCAGCAACATTTTTTCGTACTAATTGTTACACTAGAGTAACTGTAAATTGTTATTTTTCTTTAATTGGACACCTAATGTTTGACTTTACAGCTTTTTCAGGAGCATTCCACTAAAACTCAAACTGTAACTGACGGTACAAAGCTTCAGTTGGTTCGAATCATTTATTTCTAGTATCAAAATGTGCACTACAGAAGTTAATAATGGATTTTATATGCACTGTTATTTGTTTTAAAAAATGTTAGACTTTAAATCAGTTTCATTCCTTTTATATATACAAGTTATCACTGTGATGTGTTATGACATTAGTTTGTGATGTCAAGAAAACACAAGTCAGTTCAAGACAAATATGAAGCCCTATAACTCGAGCTCTTTCGAAAGGTTGATATTTCTTCAACAGAGACAAACTGACATTAATGCTAGCTTTTGTTGAAAGAGAGGACAATTAATTAATTAAAATTCTTCATTTTCACAAAGTAGCAGGTAAATTTAAAATTGCTCTATCTCTTGTTATTTTATGCACATTCAGTACGATCAGAGATGCAAAAGTTTCGTCTTGAACATAATCATGTTGTGTTTGATTACAGACTGATATAGACTCAAAACTATTCTCCAGGATCTGATGAATTAAAAACAAGTGTACTCAACTCACCCACTACTTTCTAGGAGTTTTAAACACTGAAGTACTGAATTTTCATGAAGTTGTACCAAAAGAGATTTAAATTTTTGTTATAAGAATTTCTATATTTGATATAATTAATACTTGGACTTCAGTGCTCACAATCTGTTGTGTAGCTTAATATATTTCTATAGTGTCAAAAACTTAGTCGTATGAGTTAGATGAGTAAGCTGACCCCAGGTGGTGCTAAAAACAAGTCTTTTTTTTTTTCATTGCATGGTTAGTAAGTAACAGTTAAGCAATGTACATTTAATATGTTTCCCTACTGATAGGCTAAATTATTGATAAGAAAACAGTTATTTCTTTTGTTGCTACTGTTATTTGAATGAACTATACCACAGACTTGTTTTTATGTTAAAAGAGCTTTGCCTGACTGTTTTGTTTTTGTGTATTTAGTGCAGATGAAGTTATAGTGAAGCTGAGAGGCCAACAGTTGACGTTACCATACCTTATGCAGAATGGGTTTGAATGGCCCATACTGGTTGAAAGCAAGGAAGGTCTTGATCTTGTTATGCCTCCAGAGAACTTTACCATTTATGATATTTGTGATTATGTTGGTTAGTGACCAGTTACTTGTTGAATTTGTTCTGCATTGTTTTAGTTTATGCCTACCTAAAGGTTCTTTTATATACAAACTTTGTCTAAATTATAGAATAGTCATTATAAGTACCTGCAAAAAGAATGTTAGTCACATGGTGAGATGTATAATTATAGCTCAAGGTGAAACAAAAAGTCACAGTTACATTTTGGTTTGCTGTGTGTTTTATTCATGCTCTCTGCCAATAAATCCTATAATATTTTTTACTTATATTTTAGTGTATATATTCTTTAAACTTTAATCATCATTTCACCAACAAGTAGATGTTTTATATGTCCAAATAATGTGGCTTACAAGTATGTTGTAGATCCTTTACGTCCATTAATGAGCCTACAAGTATGTTGTAGATCCTTTAAAAAAAATAATTTATTCCGTTAAAGCGTTGTTCTAAAGTAATTGAATCAGCGTGAGTGCACTTTGACAAAAGGAACAGAGGATCTTCAAAAGAAAGAAGACCAAATGATTATGGTAACTCGTGCCACAATTGTAAATGAATCACACACAGAATACTAATGAAATAGTAACAGAGAAGATAGTTCGGCTTATCAACTGAAATTCTAAGGTAATTGAATAGGCCTTAAGTGGACTTTTGACAAGAAGAAGAAAACAATACATATAGTGTCTATGATATTCCTGTAATTTCTATAGCATGAAAAATTTGTTGTACATACATTTAACTTGTTCTGAATATATATATATATATTATTTTGAAAACAAGTGAAGTGTGTGCTGTTTAATTATCGTTGAATTATCGTAAAAAGTCAGACACTTACTGCAGAAGAATCCTACAGCCCAACAACAACATATTTATACTATTAAGAAATATAA